CGTGTGTGTATACTATATATCTATATATATATATATATATATATATATATATATATATATATAAATATATATTATTTACAATCGACAGATTGTACGTCTTTATTAGCGCCTTAGACTATATACACCTCTAAAGGGTACTCATTTTAGACTCATCCCTTATACCAACCGCAGGGGAAAAGAAACGAATCAAAAATAGGGAAAGCGAGGATCAAATCATGATCATTGCCAATATGCTTGCCGCCCGAAACGGCGTGGGCAGTGCTGCAAACAGTCCCGTGACCGTCAGGAAACGTGCAGGCAGTAGGAGTGTCAAAGATTCAGGAAAGCGCACAACTATATTCGATAACATACCATCCAGGTCACGATCGACGAGGACTCCTAAGAGAGAACCGTTTGATCAGAGTTTTGAGGTGTCTATGCTGGATAGGTGAGCTAGAGTGCTTTTATATATATATATATATATACTATTGTACAATTGTGATTCAAATAGCGAGCATCTATTTTCGATCACTTGCCAACGAAATCTAGGGCGACTAGTGGTTAGTGCCCGTAAAATTGATTAACAGCAGCAACCTGTGCTGGATAGATAGGTGACTGTTTCTTATGGTGGCTCTGTTCCATCCCATGTTCTGATCTATACCGGAAGTCTAGGTTCAAACAGATGGTTGTACATGTATAAACGGATATTTGTAGGTAAGGTTTCGAATTAGCTGTCAGCAAATTGCTATTCGAAAATGTATTCCGTATGTATGTAGTTTCAAAACGAAAATATTCCGCGGGAGGATGATTTTCGTTTTTCGGATAGTATAACCATACTTTCAGCGTAGTATTTATGCCGAGATATATAGATATATATACTGTTATATACGCATGTATGTGTATACATACACCTCTGTCTTTAAGATTAACTCTTTATTCAACACTTCAATACAAGCATATAAATATGTAGCTACAAGCATATACTTGCAATTCCGATCTGTACTTGCACGCACATGTGTGTATTGCACACGTGTGAGTAAATATTTCTTGTATTTGCATGTATGGAAGTACGTACATTTTTGGTGAGGACATCAACAAGTATACATATACGTATATACTCTTTCCGTTAGCTGGTATCTTCATTGAGATATTAACAAGCTTCGCCGATTCAATGCTCCGCGACTAAACACTCGAGAATAGCTTGCTTTGCCAGCACAGTTCCGTACTTTTTTATGCTACGAAATTGTATGGTTGATCCTGATGGTACTCGATATTCTTCATATCATACATATAAATAAATGCTGTACCACATACACCCTGGCAGTGGGTTGGGCAGTGCAAAACACTACCCCAGCGGCAAGAAGAAACGAGACCGGTCGAATACCGTGGCATCGTCGTCTGTGGAGAAGAAGGGAAGCATTAAGAGCGGAAGTATAAAGAAACACGGCAGCGTTAGCAGTAGAGATGTGCTTCACGCGAATGACGGGTACGTGGGCGTGGGCTTTTGTGCTCAGAGATTATATAATATAGTCTGTTTGGTCTATGTAGTCTATCTGGTGTGTATATTGTATGCTTATAGATGGCTACAGAATGGAAATCAGTGCAAAGCAGCATAGTATTCAGAACGCAAGTCAAAATAGTTTCAAGTCGTACCATTAAAGATACAAAATTGTTCGGAAGATCAGCATTGAGGATACGGCCGTACTTTGAGATGACAGTCCGTGCAATAGAGATGTCTTCCACTCGAGTGGCCTGGCCTATGATATAATCACACATGCTTGTGTATATGTATATGTATGTATGTATGTATGTATG